GGACGTAGACATCCTATTATAATGCGGCAGAAAATCCCTTAAAGGCACCAAATCCTGTTTGATCTTGGAAAGTAAGCAAGGTCAGTCCTAGTTAGAACTTAGATGGGAGGTAGCCCATGAATACCAGATGCTCTGGGCTATATTTGATAGGAAGGAGTGGGCAAAATCACATCTGAGTATTCCTTGACTAAGAAAGTCTTATCATGGATTACCCATGTTGACAAGTGGCATGCTCACATGAGAGAAACTCCATCCTCATTACTCAGTACTCCAGGACAGCTATAGCACCCCCAACATTCACTCAGTGGAGGCAAGACATTGGTGGCATCATCAGGCTGTGGCTTTTTACTGATCCTCAGTTAAATGCTAGACTCTGGCAGTCAGGATTGTCTTTTGAGAGGCTAAAATGGTCAGAATGGTTCTTCTAGCTCAGGCTCTTACTGAACTCATTTTCACCAAGAGCCACATCAGCCATATGGTTGCCTTCAAATGGGCTGTTTGTAATTCTAAGACTGTAGAAATGTAACTACATTTTCCTGACATTGAAAGGTGCACGGGGCACACAAAAGGGTGTGGCAGGCCAGATTTCCCCATGGACCTTTTGTTTGACACATATGCTCTCGCTATAAAGGTAAAGATAAAGGTTTCCCCTTGCATTAAGTCTAGTTGTGTTCAACTCTGGGGCGTGGTGCTCATCTCCATTTCTATGCTGGAGAACCGGTGTTGTCCATAGACATCTCCAAGGTCATGTGGCCGGCATGACTGCATGGAGCGACATTCACTTCCCGCAGAAGCGGTACCTATTGATCTACCCACATTTGCATGTTTTCGAACTGCTAGATTGGCAGAAGCTGGGTCTAACAGCGGGATTCCCTGGATTTGAACCACCAAATTCAGCAGCTCAGCCGTTTAACCTGCTGGCCCACCGGGGACCCTCTAGCTGTAGATCAACCCAATTGCCTACTTTCCTTGATCCATTTGTCATCTTCCATTGCCTTTTGGGTTCCTCCCTTCATCATCCTCTCTGATGTTCCCTTCCTTTAGAAACAACTTTCAGCAACTTCCCATCCACCCTTTCTGCTGGCCTCAATCCCATATGCAGAGAGGCTTGTATGTTTAAGGAGCCCATTGGATGTCATTTTTATGGCTCACAGAAAACGACTCATTGGATGGTCAAGGTGGTCAGTTGAAATATTCACACCTAGCCCAACTGACAAAAGTCCTTTGTCTCACCCTGGTCATTCCACAGATATATAAACCCTTTTCCCAGTTCCAACAGACCTCACTACCTCTGAGGATGCTTGCCATAGATGCAGGCGAAACGTCAGGAGAGAATGCCTCTAGAACATGGCCATATAGCCTGAAAAAACCCACAAGAACTTAGTGATTCCAGCCATGAAAGCCTTCGACAATACATTGACTCATTGGATGTCAATCTTTGCTGTGGAAGTCCAGAATGCCAGTCTGTGCCATGCCTTTGGGCCTTGCTTTCTAGAGAAGTGGAGTCATGCCTGCTTCTGCCCTCTCCTTTTTTCGTTGATGCAAAGTTCTCTGCCTGCCAAGCACGTGCCTTCATTTTCTGAAGGCACAAGTTTAACTCGGCTGTTGTCTCACATTGATGGGAAATTAATCAGCTATTCTAGGATCTGGCTCATCACTTAAACTGCTATAAATATATTTCACCTCTCGGGAAAAGTGCAACACGAAATGTCTCTGAGTAGTGTGCTGAAGAAAAGCTGACACCATTCAGTAATGAGTTGGCCAGAACCAGAGTCCAGTGATGTCAGAAGACTGCAGTACGGAATTAGCCGGATGCCGTGTCCCACTGCAGGCTTCAGGGCTTTTATGATGCACGCCATAGAAAGATCCCAGCCATTTGGTGTTACACATTAGGTTCTGTCTTTCAACGTATTATAATGTACCGTCACCTTGGATCATTTGTTAACACAATCATTATGTAATAAGTTCCAGGATAAAAGTGGTTCAGTGAAATGACCTGCGCTGTCCTATGCTAAATGCAGTCCATAGAAGCAACTTCTACTATCTCTTAAGGTCAATCTATATAAATAAACATGTAATGTTCATTTGTAGGATTAACATAACCCAAAAACCACTGGGCAAATTGGGTTCTTGTAGGTTTTTCGGGCTGTATGGCCATGGTCTAGAGGCATTCTTTCCTGACATTTTGCCTGCATCTATGGCAAGCATCCTCAGAGGTAGTGAGGTCTGTTGGAACTAGGGAAAAGGGACATCTAATTACCTCTCAACAAAAGTTTGCTCCAAGCACAGTCAGCCCATTGTGCGCTAATCAAGGTGGTCAGTTGAAACATTCACACCTAGCTCCAGCAGACAAGAGTCCTTTGTCTCACCCTGGTCATTCCACAGATATATAAACCCTTTTGCCTAGTTCCAACAGACCTCACTACCTCTGAGGATGCTTGCCATAGATGCAGGCAAAACGTCAGGAGAGAATGCCTCTGGACCATGGCCATACAGCCCGAAAAAACCTACAACAACCCAGTGATTCCGGCCATGAAAGTGTTCGACAATACACTGGGCAAATTGACACCAAATTTGGACACAAGACACCTATCAGGCCAACAAATGACCATCACTCATAAAAACACAGAAAAACACAACCGAAGGGACTTAAATGGCCAAAAAAAAAGCAAAAGGACGCTAAAGTGCATGTGAAAAAACAACTCCCCCTGGCAAACAATACACACAATAGCATATCCACACTCTCTTCCGGACGACAGCTCCCAGCATTCCCTAGACCAGCTCCTTTAGGAGAGGAGGGTGATCCCAATGCACTGCTTCCAAGCTGCAAGCTTTCTTCTCCTTGGATCTCTTTGGGAGCATCCCAATCCCTGCATATTGCCAATTTCCAATTCCTGGACTGCAACTCCCAGCAATCCTCCAGACTGGAGGCTTCTCAGCACTTGGAACTATAACCTGTTTGTGAAGGTGGGAGGCTTACTGTGTAAGTGGACACATCTACCACGTATACACATTTTATATGTATACACACACACACACAGTAGAATCTCACTTATCCAACGTTCACTCATCCAATGTTCTGTATTATCCAACACAGTCTGCCTCTCACCCGGATCCACAGATGATTCAGTACATTGTGATGTTTTGGTGCTGAATTCGTAAGTACGGTAATTATTAAATAACATTATCATGTATTGAACTGCTTTTTTCTATCAATTTATTGTAAAACATGATGTTTTGGTGCTTAATTTGTAAAATCATAACATAATTTGACTTTTAATAGGCATTTCCTTGATCCCTCCTTATTATTCACCATTTTCGCTTATCCAACATTCTGCCAGCCTGTTTATGTTGGAGACTCTACTATGTGTGTGTGTGTGTGTGTGTGTGTTTGGGTGTGTGTATAATGTAATGTTCATTTGTGGGATTAACATAACTCAAAAACTACTGGACAAATTGACACAAGATTAGGACACAAGACACCTATCAGGCCAACAAGTGACCAACACTCATAAAACACAGAAAAACACAACCGAAGTGACTTAAATGGCCAAAATAAAGCAAAAGGACGCTAAAGTGCATGCGCAAAAACCACGCCTCCTGCAAACAAAGCACTCAATAGCATATCCATACTCTCTTCTGGACTACAGCTCCCAGCATCCCCTAGACCAGGCCTTTTAGGAGAGGAGGGTGATCCAAATGCACACCTTCCAAGCTGCAAGCTTTCTTCTCCTTGGATTTATTTGAGAGCATCCCAATCCCTGGACTACAACTCCCAGCAATCCTCCAGATAAATAGATTAGATAGAGATAGATAGGTAGATAGATAGGATCTGGCCACGGTGGTCCACGCTCTTGTCACATCCCGGCTGGATTACTGCAACGCACTCTACGTGGGGTTGCCTTTAAAGACTGCTCGGAAACTTCAACTAGTCCAGCGAGAAGCAGCCAGATTGCTCACCGGAGCGGCGTACAGGGAGCACACCACCCCCCTGTTGCGTCAGCTCCACTGGCTGCCGATCCAATTCCGAGCACAATTCAAAGTGCTGGTTTTGACCTATAAAACCCTATACGGTTCCGGCCCAGTGTACTTGTCCGAACGGATCTCCCTCTACGTCCCACCTCGAAGTTTAAGATCTTCTGGGGAGGCCCTGCTCTCGACCCCGCCAGTGTCACAAGTGAGGCTGGCGGGGACGAGGAGCAGGGCCTTCTCAGTGGCGGCCCCCCGCCTGTGGAACGCACTCCCCGGGGAGATTAGATCGGCGACTTCCCTCCTAGCATTTAGGAAAAAACTAAAGACCTGGATGTGGGACCAAGCTTTTGGTCACTGATAATTAAATCAAGGACCGGCGACAGACAAGGACAGACGGAATAGAACGGATGTATGGACTCTGATATATGGACTCTGACATGAGATTGTTTTTAGGATTATGTTTTTATTATGTATTGTTGTTTAACTTAACTGCTGAATTTTATATTTTTTGGATTACTTGTTGTGTGATTGGGCATCTAATTGTGCCCTTTATGTAAGCCGCCCTGAGTCCCCCTAGGGGTGAGAAGGGCGGGGTATAAGTGAATGAAATAAATAAATAAATAAATAAATAAAATAGGTAGATAGATAGATAGATAGATAGATAGATAGATAGATAGATAGATAGATAGATAGATAGATAGATAGATATTTTGATCAGGGGGACTGCTAGGAATTGCAGTCCAAGAATTGGTAGAGAAGGGTGAAAAGAGAGAAAGAGGAAGGGAAAGAAAAGGGAAGGAAGGGCAGAGGAAGAGAAGAAAGGAAGGGGAGAATGAAAAAAGGGAAGAAAGGAAGTAAAGAGGGAGGGTAGGAAGGAGAGAAAGAAAGGAGGAGAGAAAGAGGGAGGTAAGGTTGGCCATAGCAATGTGTGGCGGGTAAAGCTAGTGAGAAATAAATACCACATTGATTCTTCTTTTGGCTCATTGACCCCGGCTGATCCTAATTGGCGACATTTACATCTCTTGTAGGGTTATCACGATCCCACGAAAACCAAAGTGCTCCACTTTGGTTTGAACCCAGCCAGTCTGGCCAAGCAACAGCGTCTTGAGGAGTGTCAACGGCTGAAGGAAGAAAATGAACGCTTGAGACAGCTGGTTCTACAAGAAGGAGGCTCCATCCCAGAAAACCTTGAGGCAGCTGCGCCTCTCCAGTTGACCCAAGAAATTGCAGGTTTGTGTTTGCCTCTGTCATTTTATTGATTTCACATTTCTAAATGTGCCAGTGTTGTTGGATCCAGTACCAAAAAAGGGGGCATTTCAGAGTGACTTTTGACATAGAGTTAAATTAGAAAAAGTCTTTTTCTTGTTGTCTTTAAGCCTCTGACACTTAATTTTTTGAGAAGTTGTCTAATGGTTCATAGAACCATAGAGTTGAAAAAGACCTCCTGGGCCATCCAATCCAACTCCATTCTCCCAAGAAGCAGGAAAATCACATTCAAAGCACCCCTGACAGATGGCCATCCAGCCTCTGTTTAAAAGCCTCCAAAGAAGGAACCTCCACCACACTTCAGGCAGAGAGTTCTACTGCTGAACAGCTCTCACAGTCAGGAAGTTCTTTCTAATGTTCAGATGGAATCTAGTTATAATAATTTGTTGACATGGCACACTTTTACTACAATCCCACTCCGGTTGTCCTCATCATAACCTTATGAAGACTAGGAAACAGTATCCAGCTCCATATCACTCAATGGGATTTATGGATTAGAACAGTGTTTCTCAATCTTCCTAATGATGCAACCCCTTAATACAGTTCCTCATGTTGTGGTGACCCCCAACCATAAAATTATTTTCATTGCTACTTCATAACAGTAATTTTGCAATTGTTATGAATCATAGTGTAAATATCTGATATGCACAGGATGGATTTTTATTCACTGAACTACATTTGGCACAAATACCCACTACGCCCAAATTTGAATCCTGTTTGGGTTACAGGGAGAAGGATTGATTTTGTCCTGTGGGAGTTGTAGTTGCTGGGATTTCTAGTTCATCTCCAATCAAAGAGCATTCTGAACTCCACCAACGATGCAATTGAACCAAACTTGGCACACAGAACTCGCATGACCAACAGAAAATACTGGAAGGGTTTGGTGGGATTGCCCTTGAGTTTTGGAGTTGTAGTTTGCCTACAGCCATAGAGCACTGTGGATCAAACAATGATAGATCTGGACCAAACTTGGCATGAATACTCAATATGCCTAAATGTGAACACTGGTGGAGTTTGGGGAAAATAGACCTTGATATTTGAGAGTTGTAGTTGCTGGGATTTATAGTTCACCTATGATCAAAGGACATTCTGAACCCCACCAATGATAAAATTAGGCCAAATTTCTCACACAGAACCCCTGTGCCCTGAAGGGACTCGCTGGTGCGAGCCTCCTTTCAGCCTCACATGCTCTACAATCAAAGAGCATTCTGAACTTCATCAGTGATGGAAGGCACGCAGAAATTATCATGACCAACAGAAAATACTGGAAGGGTTAAGTTTTTTAGTTCACCTACATCCAGAGAGCACTTGCTGGGATTTCTAGTTCACCTACAATTTAAGAGCTTTCTGAACCACACCAATGATAGAATTGGGCCAGACTTCCCACACACAATCCTCATGCCTTGAAGGGACTGGTTGGCAAGAGCCTCCCCCCAACCTCACATGCTCTCCCTTGTCTGCACAAGTGCACCACGTTGCCATGTGCCAAGCATGCCTGCTCTCCCCTCCCTGCTTGGAATCTCAGAAACAGCCTCCCTTTGGCTGAGAGTCCAGTCAATAACAGCGGAGGAGGGCTTTTGGTGGGAGGATTCACCATCTGTTTCCAAAAAGGAAGAGAAGGACAGGCGGAGAGATCTTCAGCCTTCTCTGCCAAAGGGGTTCCTAAGACCATCAGAAATATATGTTTTCCGATGGTCTTTGGTGACTCCTCTGAAACCCCCTTGTGACCCCCCAGGGGTCCTGACACCCCGGTTGAGATATGGTGGATTAGAGCATTGAGGAACCAGACCTTCCTAATCTCGGTCCCTCTCTCTGTCCACACTACCATCCTGGCTCTCATGGTTTACAACCAGTGAACTGATAGAGGGGAGGGGGAAAGTCCCTTGATTCCATCAGTTTTGCACATTGCTCCAGTGGATGAACAGAACCAAAGCCATGTTGGTCCATGGAATGCAAGGAGAGGGTGGGGGAAGATCCAAATTCCACTGGAGACAGAAAACTTCGGAAGACCTTAAGCAAGTTCTTGAGCTCTGCAGAATTCTTCATCATTGTGGGAGACTGATGTGTCCACGAAAGCTCTTACTTGAGAGTCTACAAGTAATGCCTCAGACTTGACAAGCCAGGGACAAAGATCACGAGGAAGTACACAAGGGCCTTGCTCTTGTGAGAGTAGCCTTACTTATAAGAAGTCTTTCCTAGGTCTGAAAAAGTATTCAAATTGCCTTGTCACACCAAGGACTCTTCTGTTCCAGGTTAAGCTGTGAAGTCCTGGCAGGTGGCATTTGTTATAGACTGATGCATTGGAAGGAGCCAGAATAGTCCCTTGTGGCCAAGGATAGGAGGATAAATCACCTTGGGATGATAACCTCTGCATCCTCTTTCTATAAACAGGCTTAGCAACAGAGAGAACAGCCTGTTGCTAAATCATTGGCAATTCTCCTCAGCAGTTTGTGCTTCACTACAGTTGGTCAGTTGGACACTGTTTAGGGGAATGAAGGGAGCCAATGAGACAGAGAAGGCCAACATATTGCCTTCCTCAGCTCTGGGGGTGGCACTTCTCCCTGGAGCAGATGGGCAACGTCTGTCTCTTCGGTGGCATCTCCAGTGCCTAGCGAGCAAGCAAGCGGAGTTGTTGGGTCAGTGGCACTAATTTACCGCTGAACAGTCCTCTTTAAATCACGCTAAGTGGGACTCTCTGCTCCACCTAGCGTGTCTTAATGCCTTCGAGGCCCATGGGGCTTGTTTGTGCTTTGAGTTTACGGTGGGCTTGTGCTGAGTCACATTGGATTTTGCCTGCATGTAACTTGTTGTAGTGACACCGCAAAAAAACTGGGCATCGGTGTAGGCACTGCTGCAAAAGCTGTGTTGCCCAATGGAGCAGCAAATCCTCCCTGTGAAACTTGGAATATGAAGCCAGGTGGAGATTCTGAATGAATCCCATGGCTGTGTGTTTTACTCACAACCTCTCTCATGCTTCTCTTTGGTTCTCCTGGGATTTCCTACTTGGAGCATTGTGCTGTTGCACTTTGGAAGGCATGCTTCTACATTTCTGTGGTATGGATTTTGTTTTTCAATGTTGATTCAGAGCGACAACTTATGGTGAAGGGCAAATAACATTACGCCAAGAAGGGTTTTGTGATGTGAAGCAACACAATCTGATGTCCTGTGAGCTCACTTGGAGTGTAGCAGTAGCTAAACAAGTCCTATGAGGAGCAGCTTAAGGAGAAGACTGAGAGGAGACATGATAAACATGTATAAAGATGTGAGCGGAAGTCATAGGGAAGAGGGAGCAAGCTTGTTTTCTGATGCCCTGGAGACTGGGATGCAATGGAACAATGGCTTCAAACTATGGCTTCAAACCATGCCTAGGTCACCTCTAGATTGGACTACTGTAATGCGCTCTACGTGGGGCTGCCCTTGAAAATGGCTTGGAAATTCCAACTGGTCCAATGGGCAGCAGCCAGGATGTTAACTGGGGCCCCTTACAGAGAGAGGTCAACCCTCCTGTTCAAGGAGCTCCACTGGCTGCCATTTATTTTCCGAGCCCAATTTAAGGTGCAGGTGCTTACCTACAAAGCCCTAAACGGTTTTTTCAAGGAGCTTCACTGGCTGCCGTTTATTTTCTGAGCCCAATTTAAGGTGCAGGTGCTTACCTACAAAGCCCTAAACGGTTTGGGACCATCCTACCTGCGTGACCGTATCTCCGTTTATGAACCCACGCGCTCACTTCGTTCATCCGGAGAGGCCCTGCTCGTGATTCCGCCAGCGTCGCAGGCGCGTTTGGTGGGGACGAGACAGGGCCTTTTCTGTGGTGGCCCCCCCGACTCTGGAACACCCTCCCCAAAGATCTTAGACAGGCCCCTACATTGGCAGTCTTTAGAAAGAACTTGAAGACCTGGCTGTTCCGATGTGCCTTCCAGAATAGGAAACTCCAATAACAAGTCCCAGAAGCACTTTATTAGAACTAAGATTGCTGCACACACTGCACTTACCCTATAATCCTTACATATCACCTGTCACATCAGCACTTTTAATCTGTACCCATTACTCTTGGCCCGCCCAGTTTTATAGTGTCTTGATGTATTGTATATTGCTTGTTTTTATTGCTTAACTGTTTTAATTTGCTTTAGTGTTGTATTGTTGTTGTGTTTTGAGGCCTTGGCCTTTGTAAGCCGCATCGAGTCCTACGGGAGATGCTAGCGGGGTACAAATAAAGATAATAATAATAATAATAATAATAATAATAATAATAATAATACTAATATGGGAAAGAAAGGAGATTCCACCTGAACATTAGGAAGAACTTCCTGACTGTGAGAGCTGTTCAGCAATGGAACTCTCTACCCCAAAGTGTGGTGGAGGCTCCTTCTATGGATGCTTTTAACAGAGGCTGGATGGCTATCTGTTGGGGATGCTTTGAATGTGATTGCCCTGCTTCTTGGCAGAGAGTTGGCCTGGATGGCCCATGAGGTCTCTTCCAACTCTATGATTCTATGAAAATGCCGATGCCTTGCAACCTTTAGAAACCCCATAGCTCCGCAACCCCCCTCCCCACAATGTTGGGAGGAGCGAGTTATTGCTCACGTTGAGACTGTTGCTATGAAGTATTGCCTCTGGCTATCCCAGTGACACCATGGAGTATAATTGGCTCTTACGAAACCCATTCTCTCTGAAGTCTGAGCCTTCTGATTCATCATTCATTGTTGTCATCTCTCCCAAACTTTCCTTAAGCCATGTATCTGACCTCTCAGAGTTTCCTTCCCGTGCCTGACTTTCTTTGCAGCGTTCCCCATGTGAGAGAACTGGCTTCGGGCCTTCCTGTGCATTGGGTGGTCTAATTCCATTAAAGCCTTATTCTGCCAAATGTTTGGAGGGGAGAGGGGTAGTTGTCTGAATAACTCACATCAAAGCTCCCTACCCTCTTGTTTGTTTGTTTGTTTTCAGTTATTTTGAATTTTTGCATT